CCTGGCATGAAAATTCCACCAGCCATACTGCTCGTTCTGTACGTGATATCCTGCAAGACAGGAATGTCAGTGTTCTGCCATGGCCAGTGAAGAGCCCGGATCTCAATTCCATTGAGCACGTCTGCGACTTGTTGGATCGGAGGGTGAGGGCTAGGGCCATTCCCCCCAGAAATGTCCAGGAACTTGCAGGTGCCTTGGTGGAAGAGTGGGGTAACATCTCACAGCAAGAACTGGCAAATCTGGTGCAGTCCATGAGAAGGAGATGCACTGCAGTACTTAATACAGCTGGTGGCCACAACAGATACTGACTGTTACTTTTGATTTTGACCCCCCCTTTGTTCAGGGACACATTATTCCATTTCTGTTAGTCACATGTCTGTGGAACTTGTTTAATTTATGTCTCAGTTGTTGAATCTTGTTATGTTCATACAAATATTTACACATGTTAAGTTTGCTGAAATTAAACGCAGTTGACAGTGAGGACGTTTCTTTTTTTGCTGAGTTTATTATTAATTATGTAATTGTTATCATTAGTGTTGATATGCCCCCCCCCACACCACTCTAGCCACCAACCCTTTATGACGATACTTTTTAGCCACAGAAGCAAGCATGTCTCTCTATGAATTGCAATTGCTAGAGCTTGAACATCAAGAGCCTGAACTGCTCTTACTCCTCAGGAGGTGATGCGGAAATCTTCTCACGAAGCAACTTCGGCTCCCAACTCATTGCAGGCCAGTGCTTGCCGGGAACCCAAACACCGAGCCCATACTGTATGTCTTAGTGGGAGACAAGGCATTCCCTCTGAGGGTAAACCTAATGCGACCATATCCAGGTAAGATACGCTAAATACATGTGACTAGATAAACATTGTAATTATACAGTGCCTTCAGAAAGTATTCACACCCCTCGACTTTTTCCACATTTTGTTGTTACAGCCTGAATTAAAAATTGTCACTGGCCTACACACAATACCTCATAATATCAAAGTGGAATTATGTTTTTAGAAATGTTTACAAATGAATGCAAAATTAAAAGCTGAAATGTCTTGAGTCAATAAGTATTCAACCCATTTGTAAAAATGTGCTTAACAAGTCACATAATAAGTTGCATGGACTCACTCGGTGTGCAATAATAGTGTTTAACATTACTTTTGAATGACTACCTTATCTCTGTACCCCACACATACAATTATCTGTAAGGTCCCTCAGTCGAGCAGTGAATTTCAAACACAGATTCAACCATAAAGACCAGGGAGGTTTTCCAATGCCTGGCAAAGAAGGCACCTATTGGTAGATAGGTTTGGACAGTATCCAGATTTTCATACCGTCCTTCTCTCACCCCGAAATATACGGTATTAGCAGATTAGTACACAAAGGAGCGCCAAAAAAGCCCAGTGGACAGAATGCTAACAAAATTAGCACAAGTAATAGCGAATTTCCATGGAGCCTGCTAGCTAAATATGCTAATGAGCGCAAACGAAAATAAACAAATGGCAAAGACAGGCAATCCACCTCATACATACATAGGTAGGAGCTACTGAATGTCATTTTTGGAGAGTTTGGACATTTAGAAGCGAATGTAAATGAGAGACATTGTGCAAATGAACAAAGTTTTGATGCATGCAGTACTGGCTCTCCAGCAGCATTCTACACCAAAGATTTTTATTACTAACCCTATCCTTGTCTACACGCTGTGTCTGTGTGGACTCTGGAGTCCACAATGGGCCTACCTGCTCTGCTTGGAGAAGAGGGGGGAGGAGCACATGGGCCGAGAACGGAGACAAGAAAAAATGCAAGAAAATCAAGATAGCAGTGGCAGCTGTACAGATAAATCATCCAAACTGCTTTGACTTCTCAAACACGGCAGAAAGCTAACACAATATGTTGCCTCGTCACCTTATTAATTCAGCCACTTACTTAGATAGCAAGTTAAACTAGGTGTCGTGTTAACGCATAATTCTGCGTTCACGCAGGAAAAATATCTAAAACGCAAAAAATATCATGCTGTGGTTTGTAAACACAGATCTAAAATGCTTCTTATTATTAGACTAATTTTGTGCTTCAGTTGCACTTCTAAACTTGGATAAGAATTCACGAACAGACATTCTATGAGCAGACAGCGCTCTGTCTGATGTGTAGCTACTTTTCTCAGTGTAGCCAGCCTATTTTTCTCTGGTAAAATGCTAGATTAACTTTAAACAAAATATTAGGAAATGTAGCTGGCTACATTCTTTCTATGACAGGCCTAAACATTAGACAGATGATGGCCATGCATTGTTTTTGCTTTTTCATTGTAAGCTCATTTACTTGTGTGGCTGCCAGCCAAATAACGTTGCAATTCTGTTGTCATCTGATGAAAATGAAGCTATTTTATTCCGAATGTGTTGCAATAATGTATTTTCTGTGAAGGAAAACTATAGTTGCACCTGATCACTCTATTGAAGCAAAAAAACACTTGACTTTAAATATAAAACGTGACCCCTGTCAATACACAGCTGGACTCACCTGCTCCTGCTTTCTCCTGTTGTGCTATTTACAAACAAACATATCACTGGCTCAACTGTGCTGGGGAACTAAGTAAGCTTCATAATGTAAAATAATGTGACAGGTGAAATAAGAACGCAATCTGCTTTATCTCCTAACGTATTGCACAAGTTGACTGCAGGTATTTACTTAAAAAATTGCTACGAATATTAAAATGTATTGAAGTTTAAAAGTTTAATAAATAGTTTCAACTGTATTGACGGTATTGAAAAACCATCCCGTGGCTATTTCCAAATACCCCGGTATACGGTATATACGGTATGCCGCCCAAGCCCATTGGTAGATGTGTAAATTTAAAAAAAGCTGATATTGAATATCCCTTTGAGCATGGTGAAGTTATTAGTTACATTTTGGATGGTGTATCAATTTCACCCAGTCACTACAAATATACAGGCATCTTTCCTAACTCAGTTGCCGGAGAGGAAGGAAACGGCTCAGGGATTTCACCATGAGGCCAATGGTGACTTTAAAAAAAAACGGCTATCTAGCAATGATCAACAACCAACTTGACAGAGCTTGAAGAATTTCAAAAATAATAATGTGCAAATATTGCTCTTAGAGATTTACCCAGAAAGACTCACAGCTGTAATCTCTGCCAAAGGTGATTCTCACATGTATTGACTCAGGTGTGTGTAAACTTACAGTGCATTCAGAAAGTATTCAGACCCCTTCACTTTTTCCACATTGTTACGTTATAGCCTTATTATAAAATGTATTAAAACAAATCCATCATCAATCTACACACGATAACCCATAATGACAAAGCAAAAACAGGTTTGCAAATGTATAAAAACAAAAAAACTGAAATATGACATTTACATAAGTATTCAGACCCTTAACTCAGTACTTTGTTGAAGCACCTTTGGCAGCGATTACAGCCTTGAGTCTTCTTAGGTATGACGCTACAAGCTTGGCACACCTGTATTTGGGGAGTTTCTCCCATTCTTCTCTGCAGATCCTCTCAAGCTCTATCAGGTTTGATTGGGAGCGTCGCTGCACAGCTATTTTCAGGTCTCTCCAGATATGTTCAATCGGGTTCAAGTCCGGGCTCTGGCTGGGCCACTCAAGGACATTCAGAGACTTGTCCCAAAGCCATTCCTGCGTTGTCTTGGTTATGTGCTTAGGGTCATTGTGCTGTTGGAAGGTGAACCTTCGCCCCAGTCTGAGGTCCTCAGTGCTCTGGAGCAGGTTTTCATCAAGGATTTCTCTGTACTTTGCTCCGTTCATCTTTCCCTCGATCCTGACTAGTCTCCCAGTCCCTGCCACTGAAAAACATCCCCACAGCATGACGCTGCCACCACCATGCTTCACCATAGGGATGGTGCCAGGTTTCCTCCAGACGTGACACTTGGCATTCAGGCCAAAGAGTTCAATCTTGGTTTCATCAGACCAAATAATCTTGTTTCTCATGGTCTCAGAGTCCTTTAGGTGTCTTTTGGCGAACTCCAAGCGGGCTGTCATGTGCCTTTTACTGAGGAGTGGCTTCAGTCTGGCCACTTTACCATAAAGGCCTGATTGGTGGAGTGCTGCAGAGATGGTTGTCCTTCTGGAAGGCACAAAGGAACTCTGGAGCTCTGTCAGAGTTACCATCGGGTTCTTGGTCACCGCCCTTCTCCCCAGATTGCCCAGTTTGGCTGGGCGGCCAGCTCTAGGAAGAGTCTTGGTGATTCCAAACTTCTTCCATTTAAGAATGATGGCGGCCACTGTGTTCTTGGGGACCTTCAATGCTGCAGACAATTTTTGGTACCCTTCCCCAGATCTGTGCCTCGACACAATCCTGTCTCGAGCTCTACGGACAATTCCTTCGACATCATGGCTTGGTTTTTGCTCTGACATGCACTGTCAACTGTGGGACCTTATATAGGCAGGTGTGTGCCTTTCCAAATCATGTCCAATCAATTGAGTTTACCACAGGTGGACTCCATTCAAGTTGTAGAAACATCTCAAGGATGATCAATGGAAACAGGATGCACCTGAGGTTAATTGTGAGTCTCATAGCAAAGGGTCTGAATACTTGTATAAATAAGGTATTTCTGCTTTTAATCTTTAATACATTTGCAAAAATTTCAAAAAACCTGTTTTCGCTTTGTCATTATGGAGTATTGTGTGTAGATTGATGAAGACATTTTTTTATTTAATCCATTTTAAAATAAGGCTGTAACGTAACAAACTGTGGAAAAGGTCAAGGGGTCTGAATACTTTCCCAATGCACTGTAATGTGTGTCTGGTAGCCTGGTCCAAGATCTGTCATCTTGCCAACTCCTATGGTGATTGTTATGCCAAACCTTTTTGACAATGATCAAATGACATGGCAAGACAGCACAAACAGATCTGGGAACAGGCTATTTATCTGTTGGTATTATGTTTCTCAAGGTGACAGTGTTGAGGTCATTATGAGAATGAGAAGCCTAGTGTGTATGCTGCCTGTGTGCGTGCTTCATTCATAAACCCCTCGTTATGTCCCCTCATTTGGATGAGTTCTACGAGGGGCCCATTCCCATCAAGGAGGTGACCTTTTCTCACCTCAATGACAACATCAAGGAGCCTTTCCTGGCCGAGATGTGCGCCAAGTTTGGAGTGGTGGAGGAGATCTTCACCAGCACCAGGGGGGCTAAGGACACTGTGAAACACCTGCACAACACGCTCAGCTGGAAATCAAAGGTAGGACATGTCGGAGTCCGGAGTATATACAGTGCTTTCGGAAAGTATTCAGACTCCTTGACTTTTTCGACATTTTGTTACGTTACAGCCTTATTCAAATTTTTTATTTTTTTATTCTCATTAATCTACTAACAATACCCCATAATGACAAAGTGAAAACAGGTTTTTAGAATGTTTTGGAAATGTATTCAAAATGAAAAATCTGAAATACCTCCCAGACTTGGAGCTCCGGTACCGCTTGCCTTGCGAACAGACTGTGACTTGGGTGGCTGGAGTCTTTGACCAAAAACAATTTATGCAGTGTTTGTGTGTGTACAGGTGAGTGAGTGAGTGAGTGAGTGAGTGAGTGAGTGAGTGAGTGAGTGAGTGAGTGAGTGAGTGAGTGAGTGAGTGAGTGAGTGAGTGAGAGAGAGAGAGAGAGAGAGAGAGAGAGAGAGAGAGAGAGAGAGAGAGAGCGCAAAGGATGTTTATTTTACATCTGATTCATTAAACTACCCATAATTGTGTTGAGGGAATAGGTGTGTAGATGTATGTGTGTGTCACAGGAGAGGGTAATTCGATAACAGTGTAATTTGATACTCAGACAAATTACAACTACAAAGGCATTATACATTCTAAAGACCTTCAAGTTGCCATAGGTGGATGAGAGGTGAAAAGGTTAATTAAAGGATGGGTGTACTGTTAAGTGAGTGGATCACCTTTCTGCCTCTAGTTACCCCTGACTGGTAAGTCAACAACTGAAATGTAAGGGTGCATATAAAATGGTGAATGGGTCTTCGTTGGGCCTTCATACCCCATAAACGACAAGACACCAGAAATACGCTAATTGAAAGATAATAGCGAGGAAGGATCATTCTCAAGCCATTAAAAGCAAACACTTAGAGAAAATGTTGGACTCTATCAATGATGAAGTGTTGAATTGGGGTTGGCAGTGTTCCGCACCTGGAGTCAAACACAATGCAGTCCCTGATGCAATGTGATTCTGCAGCAATGCTTCACCACTTACCTCTCCAACCAACATTCATCCTAGAGAAAAGGAGAGGTAGTCTACAGCATCAGATAGAGCAAAAACACATACCGACAACACTTTGTTTTTGATAAGTTTGAAATGTGGGTACTTATGTAGCCTATATTTCCCACCTGCTTCCCAATGCATATAGGGCTATATTTTTTCTTTTTTTTCTACCACATAGGCAAAGGCTACACCTGGCTAGTATGCCTGAAGCGATAGCAAACACTAGACTCTACTGCTATTTTGAGAATATGCCTTTCTAGGAGAAAAAAATATGTGTGTGCAAATCAAAGTGTGTGATGTTTCTGCTCTGATTGGGAAGAATAAAAGGGAGGAATGTTTGTGATAAAGCACTCATTCATTCTCTACAGTACAGAATGCACACACACACACACACACACACACACACACACACACACACACACACACAAGTGGGTCACGTAGGCCTGCTGATATGGAGTTTGGAGAAATGTTGTAATACAACATGGTAATAACAATGTTATAGGCTAAATGTTGACAATCATATCTTCCATATTCTACAGCCTAACATGTGACTATAGCCTAACATGTGACTTTTGCAGGTTGAGTTGTAACCTAATAACTAAATAAATGTTTAACAATAAATTCGTAAACATAAACACATAATACACCAATAATCCATTTATCATTGCAGCCAAACCTGGATCTGTAAACTTATATCACCAGAATGTATTACCATAATTATCATTCTATTGATAAATGGAGTCAAGTCTCTCTCCTCCTACGAGGTGCATTCAAGGTTTTTTAACAGTTGACAGAGCAGATAAAGCACGTTGCTAACAGTTCTGCGGCAGAATAACCTCTGTGTTTAGTGAATACTGGCTTGTCTTTGATCGATAGAGGTTGAAAAAGCCCCAGGCCTGAGGAGAGATCTTGACTCAGATGTATGTTTCGGATATTCGTGCTTAGACAGTTGTAAAAGTAACAACATGTCTAAATGTGTTGCAAAACTAACATTGAAGATTTTGAATGCAGCCCTAAATGGCCAACCGGTGGTGAACGTCGCTTCTTATTTGCATGCATTGGTGATGAATGGATGCTGGTGTGCTGCATAGCATAAATAAAAAACACAACAGGATATAAATTTAAACAATGTCATCAGCAACATGTTGCATGCAATAATTAATATATTTTAAGTACACAATGCCATTGTTTTGCTTACCTAAATATTTGATGTGGAAGCCTCGCGGAGGATTGAGAGACCTCTTCATCCATCCCTCTCTGAGCACCTCCAGGTGATCCTCTTTACCCTGTATCAACAACACGTGCTTGTCAATCCAGCCCAGGAAAAACGTCTCCGATATGGCGTCCGATGTTAATTGATTCCAAACGTGTTGTGTGTTCTCAGTTTTAAAATCCGCAAAAATCTCAAAGCCGGTGTGATGGCGCGGAAGCTCCTCGCTCTCCGACACAGCAGTCGAATCACCCGTGCCGACCCGAGTCAATACGATGGCCAGGGAGTGAGGTGCTATCTGCAGGAAAGACTCCATTGTTGAGTATTTGACCTAGGTCGTGAATGTGAAGTCATGAACAGTTTCAAACATGACACCGTTCCGTTTCATCCATAAATCCATGAGTAGGGTGGCTAGGCGACTCAGTTCTGCAACTGAAGCATAGGACACATTCCCCAGTAGGCCATACAGTCGCTTTCAACACCTATTTGTGTCTCTCCAGCCTCGCCAAGACAACGTAGGCTCCCTGTCTGATGTTTTATGTCAAACGTCCTCCCCAAAGAACTCGAAATGACATCCACGTCTCAACCCAGGTTAACCACGCTTAGTATCGAATTCGATTGCAAATTGATAGCTAAAACAATTCATCCAACAGAAAAGGGTTACTGAGGATTCTGTCACCCAGAACGAGGATTTGGTCTCATGGGACAACTGTCCATACAGCTCCTTACTACGTTGCTTGTACAGAGAGTCCAATTTCCATGTACTGGTGATCTTTCTCCAACAGGCACAGTAAGATCCTAGCAGATGTCCTCAGGCGGGATTCTAAGGTATTATTCCGCCACCTGCAGGCTGCTGTTCGCAGATACATTTGAGTGAAGGTTCTTGGTGCACACAACAGTGCAGCTGAGGCCAACCAGACAAAAATACCACCAACCAGGCAAAAATACCATTGTTCAGGACTAGGGCCTATAAAATAGGTTATGTAGCTATCCATAAGCAAAACCACTAAGCTTATTGAGAAGATGCATTAAAATAACTTTTAGGTCTGTAGGTCTATTAAAAACAAAAAAAAACGATGTTTTAAGTGAGAAGTAGTCATTGGTCTGATGCCCAAAAATAAAGGAAATTCAGGAGCACCACAATACCTATTCCACCCATGCTCTACCAAGGTTTTCCAGCACACAGCTTTAACCTGCTACCACAGGAGGTTGGTAGCACCTTAATTGGGGAGGACAGGCTCATGGTAATAGCTTATGTAAATTATTATGAGCCGTCCTTCCCTCAGCAGCCTCCACTGCCTGCTACAGTACCTATGTTGGTTTATTGTACTTCAAACAATGTGTATGCAGGTTGCATAGGATTCAAACCTTCTCAAACAGCCTAATTCATACAATTAGAGGAGGTGCTACCACAATAATGTGATTTGCACCGCATACAAGTTTAAGTATTGGATTCTTCACAAACCACACTGATCCCATTCCACTAAATTTTCAAGCTTTTTTTATTAAATGAAAGCAAGCTCTGCTTTTATACTTACAACACCATATCCGCGGGAAGTAGGGGTGCTGAGGGTGCTGCAGCACCCCCTGATAAATCACAATAAAACATTTTTATATAAATATTTTTAAATCCCACCAAATTATTGCACTAGGCCTTTATTACTCCTGTATGAGTGGAGAAAAATACTTGTTGACAAATATTGCCCTCAGCATGGTCCTGTTTTATCAATTGCGGTGCTGATCAATGGGCAGTTCATTAACTGTCAAATGAATATGGATCTTAAAGTGATGTGTATTTGTATATCTTTTTGCAATAAAGATGGTGATACTACAATACTACATATTTAGAATAGGTCTATATCTATATACATACAGTGGGGGAAAAAAGTATTTAGTCAGCCACCAATTGTGCAAGTTCTCCCACTTAAAAAGATGAGAGAGGCCTGTAATTTTCATCATAGGTACACGTCAACTATGACAGACAAATTGAGGAAAAAAAATCCAGAAAATCACATTGTAGGATTTTTTATGAATTTATTTGCAAATTATGGTGGAAAATAAGTATTTGGTCACCTACAAACAAGCAAGATTTCTGGATCTCACAGACCTGTAACAACTTCTTTAAGAGGCTCTTCTGTCCTCCACTCGTTACCTGTATTAATGGCACCTGTTTGAACTTGTTATCAGTATAAAAGACACCTGTCCACAACCTCAAACAGTCACACTCCAAACTCCACTATGGCCAAGACCAAAGAGCTGTCAAAGGACACCAGAAACAAAATTGTAGACCTGCACCAGGCTGGGAAGACTGAATCTGCAATAGGTAAGCAGCTTGGTTTGAAGAAATCAACTGTGGGAGCAATTATTAGGAAATGGAAGACATACAAGACCACTGATAATCTCCCTCGATCTGGGGCTCCACGCAACATCTCACCCCGTGGGGTCAAAATGATCACAAGAACGGTGAGCAAAAATCCCAGAACCACACGGGGGGACCTAGTGAATGACCTGCAGAGAGCTGGGACCAAAGTAACAAAGCCTACCATCAGTAACACACTGCGCCGCCAGGGACTCAATTCCTGCAGTGCCAGACGTGTCCCCCTGCTTAAGCCAGTACATGTCCAGGCCTGTCTGAAGTTTGCTAGAGTGCATTTGGATGATCCAGAAGAGGATTGGGAGAATGTCATATGGTCAGATGAAACCAAAATATAACTTTTTGGTAAAAACTAAACTCGTCGTGTTTGGAGGACAAAGAATGCTGAGTTGCATCCAAAGAACACCATACCTACTGTGAAGCATGGGGGTGGAAACATCATGCTTTGGGGCTGTTTTTCTGCAAAGGGACCAGGACGACTGATCCGTGTAAAGGAAAGAATGAATGGGGCCATGTATCGTGAGATTTTGAGTGAAAACCTCCTTCCATCAGCAAGGGCATTGAAGATGAAACGTGGCTGGGTCTTTCAGCATGACAATGATCCCAAAGACACCGCCCGGGCAACGAAGGAGTGGCTTCGTAAGAAGCATTTCAAGGTCCTGGAGTGGCCTAGCCAGTCTCCAGATCTCAACCCCATAGAAAATCTTTGGAGGGAGTTGAAAGTCCGTGTTGCCCAGCGACAACCCCAAAACAACACTGCTCTAGAGGAGATCTGCATGGAGGAATGGGCCAAAATACCAGCAACAGTGTGTGAAAACCTTGTGAAGACTTACAGAAAACGTTTGACCTGTGTCATTGCCAACAAAGGGTATATAACAAAGTATTGAGAAACTTTTGTTATTGACCAAATACTTATTTTCCACCATAATTTGCAAATAAATTCATTAAAGATCCTACAATGTGATTTTCTGGAATTTTTTTCTCATTTTGTCTGTCATAGTTGACGTGTACCTATGATGAAAATTACAGGCCTCTCTCATCTTTTTAAGTGGAAGAACTTGCACAATTGGTGGCTGACTAAATACTTTTTTCCCGCACTGTATATATTTTTGTCTTATCTTTTACCAGATCTAATGTGTTATATTTGTCTACATTCATTTCACATATCCACAAACTTCAAAGTGTTTCATTTCAAATGGTATCAAGAATATGCATATTCTGAGCTACAGGCAGTTAGATTTGGGTATGCCATTTTAGGCGAAAATCTTTAAAAAAGGGTCAGATCCTTAAGAGGTTAATAATGGAACACTAGTCACTTTAATAATATTTACATACTGTTTTACTAACTTCATATGTATATACTGTATTTTAGTCAACGCCACTCCGACATTGCTTGTCCTAATATTTCTATATATTTTTTACTTTTAGAGTTGTGTGTATTGTTGTGAATTGTTAGATATTACTGCACTGTTGGAGCTAGGAGCACAATCATTTCGCTACACCCGCAATAACATCTGCTAAATATGTGTATGTGACCAATCAAATTTGATTTGATTTGAGAAAGGAGTGAGGGGGATAGGGAGTTTCTTCAACCAAACCCATCTATCCACTTTCTCCCCCCACACCCACATCCCTCCACACAAGTGCCATCTGCCAACTTTCAGTAAAAACCACACTTGAAGCAAATTTAAACACTGAATTAAACCGATTCAATCAAAGGGTAGTTGAATAAGAGTGAGCAAAGTTTAGTATGAGAGGGATAAAGTAGTTGATTTGGCAGCCTAGCAGCAAGGGATTGGTGCCAACAGCAAAACAACTTCCCCTAATATATCCTGGAGAGAAAGAGAGAGAGAGATAATACCACACAACATGAGAGAAATGGACACACCTTGAGAGCATCATGCCTAACAGGAAGTGAAAAGAAGGGTCTTTCCTTGAAGGACAGGGAAGGAGAGGAGGGTCTCAGTTGAAGTCCAAGAATTATGATATGTTCTGTACAGTTGTACCTCAAACAGGCCTACAGGGGAATCAGTAACCAAGTAATATTTGACTGGTTCTGAATCATTGATTATCAACCCCCCCACAGGGGATATGTACATATGTAGGATCTTAATTTGATCATTTTCTCACAGCAGGAAAATAATCCTGCAGCAACAGGAAATGTGAATTATTGTGTGGATTATAATTAATTTACATTTGTGTAAGGGTTGATAGATTTTTAGGTAGGGCAAATTAAGTCTGACATTTTAAAATGTAAATTACAAGCCTTTTTAAACCTCGAATACACTACAAGTTGTCACAGCAGTAGTTGTGTTCACAACTGCAGAGTATAGCCTACGTCTGCCTTTCAGTGAGCAGGAAAGGATGTTGGTGACGTACAGTGCATTCGGAAAGTATTCAGACCCCTTGACTTTTTCCACATTTTCTTACGTTACAGCCTTATTTTAAAATGGATTAAATCGTTTTTTCCCTCTTCAATCTACACACAATACCATATAATGACAAAGCAAAAAAAGATTTTTAGACAATTTTGCTAATTTATAAAATGAAATAAAACGGAAATATGACATTTACATAAGTATTCAGACCCTTTACTCAGTACTTTGTTGAAGCACCTTTGGCAGCGATTACAGCCTCGAGTCTTTTGGGGTATGACGCTACAAGCTTGGCACACCTGTATTTGGGGAGTTTCTCCCATTCTTCTCTGCAGATCCTCTCAACCTCTGTCAGGTTTGATGGGGAGCGTCGCTGCACAGCTATTTTCAGGTCTCTCCAGAGATGTTCGATCGGGTTCAAGTCCGGGCTCTGGCTGGGCCACTCAAGGACATTCAGAGACTTGTCCCGAAGCCACTCCTGCGTTGTCTCGGCTGTGTGTGTGACACACACAAATATGTATGGTCACATTTTTTATGTTTTATTATTTTGTTATTTTATGGGGCAAT